ACTCCTCCTTTACCCATCTGCCTGGATCCATAGAGAACCTGTTCCATGCCTTCTGGCCCTACATACCATCAGCAAAAATGTCAGCACAATGAAAATAGCAAACATTGTCTTGGTAAGATTATGCAAATACGGTTGATCTCCTAGGACTACTGAAAGACTCCTATAGAACACACTTTTACAACTGCTTGATAATAGCTGACTTACTGACTTTCTTCTACCTCAGAATTAGATATTGCATAAACCCAGTTTTGGATTTTAATTCTACATAATAATGTTTGTGTTTTATCTGCTCCTAAGCAAACAGTTGGTCAGATAAACTAACAGTCACATGCTTTTCTTGGGGGTGAGTGAAGGAGGCCCTGTTGGTGTTTTACCTATAATCATTTCCATGGGCACCAGGCTGACTTTTCCCAGCCCACACCTTGGATTCTTTGTCTGGGAGTGTTCTCTCAGTGCTCAAGCCTGCTTTACTTGAGTGCCTTGCGCAAGGCGAAAGTGCTGGGGAATGAATGTCTACCCCTCCCCACAACAGCCCAACCACTAATGGGAGGTAGGTGCGGCCCCCCAGTACCTGCACCCAGAATGCTAGCAGGATTAAATGAGGTTGCCACAGTGGTAGCTGGCTTGATAACTCCTTTTGTGGGTGGGCTGTGGCTCTCACTTTCCCACTCTGCCACCAGTATGTCCTTCATTCACCTTTCAAACTGTCTGTACTGGGAGATCTCAAAATAAGGCAGAAAGTATTTATTTATATATTTCCTTCACTAATTAGCTTATACCCTTTGTGAGAAGGAAGAACTTTCTTTTTCTTCCTTCCCCACAGCATTTTCTCATGGTAGATTTCTAAAAAATTCAGAAACACCTTAATGAATCATTTTCAAGCTATGTAGTTAGCCATATGTCCAGGGGTGTGTGTGTGTGGAGGGTGGGTATTCGTTTACTCATTTTTAAGGTTTATGATTCTCAAGGGTTTCTTACCACGTTCATATGGTGGTATAAGTGTGGGAAATGAGGGCATTCCCAGAAGTACTCCAGCCAGCCTCTGTACTGTTAAGACTATCCCTTTGTACAAATGTACAATTACAATGTAATTGTAATGCACAAAATGTAACAACTAAGGGACATAACGCACATTTTGGTCATTAAATTGCCCTAGATGGCAATTTTTGGTCATTTGGCTGCCCTAGATGGCAGTCAAGGTGACTAACTCCTTTTGGATTTGGTCTGTGGGTTAGGGAGGGTGGGAATGTGGGCACCAAACAGGTGTTCCTAACTTATGCAATTAGACCCACATCTCAAAGCACCTGGCAGCTGGGTTGATGATACATCCATTTCTTATTTTGAATTGGTGACTAATCTAAGGTCCACTCAGCAGTACTAACCAACTCTGTGCCACCCTTGTCCCCATTGCTAGTTTCCTGACCCCAGGAAACAGGGGCTGTTCCTGCCAGAGGCATAAACAGGAGGCAGCACTGGAATTTTAGGAATTCTAAGCTCAGTATTTGTGATGAGTTAGAAATGTTAAGATTGGGCAGATGGCTATACATAGTACAGTATGGTACAGTGCATTATAATAAGAGATAAAAGAAAAGGATCTCTTCACTAGATGGAATAATAGTGTAATAGCCATATATTCTGTTATATATGAGATATTTTTTAAAGGTATGGTACTTCTCTCTGGTGTGTTTCATTCACCAACACAGTCATCATTGGCCTTATTGTCATTTTGTTCCACTATTTTATGAATGTGGCAGGTGGAAATAACATTTCTGGATGAAAGAGGTGATCTCAAGCATTGGATTTCCAGTGTTCCCCCTTTGTTCCAATGGACAGGTTCCATTAAGACATGCAACCAATATTCTCTTTATACATGTCTTCTTGGATATCCTCTGATCCTTTGACCACGTTTCCTCTGATCCAATTTCAGGCCTCATTGTAATTAGTGTTATTTCATAGGATTTGAGGGTTTGAATTAAGAGGAATAATGGTCCATCTCAGTAACTTGTATAGAATAGGAGCAAGATACTATTCATTGAATTAACTGGTTGGGAAATGTTATTGGATATGTTCCTACTCCTATGATAAATATATATGGGCACATAGGTACCTCTTATTATACCTGTTTACCTTTTCCCCTCTTGTCTTGTATGGTAATAGAACTCTTTATTAAGCTTTCTCACCTTTCTAGTGAATGATCTTTCTATTTCAGTCATATTAGACCTAAATATATATTTTATGTGTGTCACCTTGGGTACATTATGTAATTGTGTTTTGGTTTTCTCATTTATAAAATGAGAGTGATAACACTACCTTGCCTCATAAGCCTAGTGTGGATATATGTGTTAATACACGTAAAACACTTAGCACAACCAACAAGTATTTCAAAGCTATAATTAGTCAGTTCCAACTTTTGGTTGGCTGTGAATACAGAAGTTCTGTAAGATCAATGAAAGCATTTTGTGAACATTAATTAACTCTATAGAATTTACAGTGGAGTATGTCAAATACATTCTTACATGAAAATTGTATGCTAAGCATCCTTTATATCAGTAAAACTTACAGAAATCTCATATACAGATACCAATGCACACAATATTTTGGTTGTTTTAAACATTGGCCACTGGATAACTATGCCTCCAATTTTGCTTCTGAGGCTTAGGATAGTTCCTGGCTTGTGGTAGATGTAGTTTGTAGCAGATGCTGTTGGTATACTACATGGATCTCCTTTGCTGGATTTGCATCCATCGCCCAGCTGCTGCGGGGACTGGCTGCTAATGACTCGCACCTGTACATTTCTCCAGAGGCCTGCCCTTGGCTGACAGTAATTACCTCAAGCAAACATGTTAGGGAGATTATGAGATCATACCCGAGCCCCCTCTGTTTCTCCAGGGTGACTCAGAGCCAGTGACTGTACAAGGTATAATAGCCTGGTCCCCTTGCCTTTGAACTGGATAATGTCTGTGGGTCAGTCCATACTCTAGAACTCCTCACTGAATCAAGTTGAAGCTGGATTTCAGAAACCATATTTTTGTCTAGTTCCTTCCCCCAAGTGTACTCCCTTACCCCCTGGTTTTGCCCAAGCACTCTTGTCTATAATGAATAGTACACGATATAACATCTTGGGCTTTATGTCCAGAGAACCTAACCTACAATGTTGCTAATCTTAGCATCTCTGTTTCTTTCTTAGTTCCATAGTCAATTTAAACAAACAATTCCCTTTATTAAGTAATCTCTTGCTTGAATTTCCCTTCTTTTTTTGTTTTGTTTTCTTGGTTGGACCCTAAGCGGTATGTATCATCTCTGCTAATTGCTCATATACCATGTCTTTGAATGTTTATGGTTATGCCACATCAAATGCCCTTGATCTCTTTATGTATCTGGCTTTTTCAGTATAGTATTATGATGAATACCTCAAATTTTAGAATCTAAAAATTAGTTTCAAAGTCTGAGTCAGTGATACCTCCCTCCTAGGGTTGTTGTAAGAGTTATGAGTTATTCTTTCTAAAACACTCACCACTGAGCCTAGAATGTAGTAGTAAGTGGTCAAAATGATAACTGTTTGGTTACTGATAGTACTATCACTATTAAAAGAGTATTGCCCACTCTGGATGGGGTGCTCATTTTTGTCTCTCAGGACACCCAGTGAGTACCCCTATCACAGTGCTTTATGATATTGTATTATACTCTTTTGTTTTCTATTTCTCTCAGAAAGGCATGAACTTTTTAGTGGCATCCATTGATGTGTTGTCTTTCTAGGGGAAGAAAAGACCTAATTTATGTAACTCTTGCTGAGTTCCATGGGAAATATTCCCAACCAGTCAAATTTCAAGCTACCTACATGAAGTCACTGAACACTGAAGTAGGAAGAGACAACACACAGTTGGCTTTTGCTAGTCTGTATTCCTACTCACTCTTTGTATTCCTAACACTTAGCATAATGTAGCTAAGATGGGAGCTAGACATTTAGTAGGTGACGAAAATGTAGTGCCTGATTGGTGAAGGCTTGAGCATATACACTAAAGTGATGGAATAATTTGGTATCTAATTTTTGTTACATAACTGGAATGCACTCCCCTCATGCACACACATGCCTCCATGCATGACCACCCCCCGCCCATGTGCATACACACACATGCACAGCCCATGCTACTCATGAATTTAATCAAAATAAAGCAAGCAGTTAAGATGTGGTGGGCAATGCTCATGCCCTGCCTTGGCAGGGAGTCTCTAACTCAGATACAAGTCTCAAATTTGTAATTTATTAGACACATGAATGGGGATTAGTAATTTCATATGTCTTGGCCTTAGTCTTCTCAGAAGGTTGGAGTGAACAGTCTCTAAAGTTGCTTCTAGTCTCAAAATCTATAATGCCTAATGAGCATATAATTTTATTTCCTCCTCCTCTCATTTTTCACATCCCATCTTTGAGCTTTACATTGTGCCAAATGCTGGAAATACAAAAAGGAATAAGATGTGCCCATGGCAGATGAAAATCTTCATGTCTTTTTTCTGAACGTTCTGTCATCTGGAGACTGAGTTTGCTCATTGCCAAATGTGTTTGTACAAATACACCGAAGGCCAAAATTTTAGTTCCTCACAAATTTTAGCACTTTGACAAATAAATGTATTGGGTTACTAGTTTAATTTTCTGGATGAAAATAACTAAGGCAAGCAGTTCTTTCAGAAAATGTCAAATCATGCTAATGGTGTGGAGAAAAGCCTCAGTGAACAACCAGCTTATGTCATGCTTTGAGTTAGGCTCAAACTCAATTTATAGTTTATTTACAGCTACTAAGCAAAATCAGTAAAAAATCTGAGTCTAAGTCTAGGAAGTATTTATCCTGTTCTTTCTCACATTTGTTCATATCATCTGTGACCCCTGCACTTAAATATTTAAAAGTTACGTTGATTTGCAATAAGAATTACTATTGGGAACATTTTTCACTTATTATGCTATTTTCAGAACTAGTTTTAAAATTAATTTGTTTTTGTTTCGACAGGGGCTGATAATATCCGGAAATACTGGAGTCGATACTACCAGGGATCTCAAGGGGTAATATTTGTATTAGACAGTGCTTCTTCAGAAGATGAATTAGAAACTTCTAGAAATGAACTGCACTCAGCTCTTCAGCACCCACAATTATGCACTTTACCCTTTTTGATATTGGCCAATCATCAAGACAAGCCAGCTGCTCGATCAGTACAAGAGGTAAGTCTGATTAACATGACAATCCTTTATCTTGTTGCTACACTTTTCCTGCCATCTTGAAATTTGAAAAAAAAAATCTATTATTAGGAATCTGCTGCTTGTGTTGTTTTCACCATGAAACCTCCATTTTCTCAGAAAGCAGAAAGCCTCTTTCAGTCTGGTAGAAATGTTAACATACTTTACCCCACTTGGAGAGTCTAGGTTTTTCCACTGTTCAAAAAAAGTTAGAGGACTTACCTGCATATTTCTGCATCTATTTTAAAAGGCGACATTTCTGGTTATTTAATTCTTTTTAAAGACTTATTTTTATTTATGCATACAAGAACTGGGATGTAGGCCACAGGTGCAGGGGGGTGAGCACAACAGGCAGAATGGGGAGCCGAACAGGAGGAGCCACTGAAATACACTGCTGAGGGGAGCAGTGGGTGAGACAAGAGAGGTCTGCTGTACCATGTGGGCTAGTTCCCTAGCTGGGGATGAAACTCATGTTGCAGTGGCTGATAATATCTTGATAGTGCCAAGACTTAACCCCCTGTGCCACCCATGAGGCTCTGGTTATTTCATTTTTCATTTTTTTTTTAACCCCACCAACTAACTTAGTTCATTCTTTTCAGGGATGTCATGTTATTATCCCTCTGAACTGCTCACCTTTGACTAGAAGCAGTGGGTCCTGTTCTGTAATCAGCCAGGCTGGAAATCAGTGTCTTATCTTGCAATTTCCATACCACCAAATGTATTTTAATATGGGCCAATTCTATATCTTTCTCATTTAATTTCATTTCTTAGCTTATATCTCTCCTCTAAAAGCATGAGACTAATTCAGGCCAAATAATCAGTGTCTTACTCAGTAGAATTTTTTGATTCATGGCACTAAGGTAATGTGATATGTGAATAGTTTTTTTAAAACTTTCCATTATGGTGAATGTTAAGCTAGGTACAGTGGAATCAAAATGGTCAATGTATTCCTTTATACCGGTAACTTTCACAGTATATATTCTCTCACCCTTCAAAATATTGCGTGCTTTTTTAAAAGTAGTTGCAGAATAAGATGATTAATGCCCTTTCATCTGAAAAATGGATGAGGATCCAAGGATATGACATGTTCTAATTCCAAACCTCCCTTACACTTATTGTGGTGCCCATGGGCAATAGCTTTGTTCTTGTGCCTGTCTTTGCACCTGTAAAATGGAAATAATGCAATTTTTTAATAATAGTATATATAGTGACATAATTATTAGTGTTAAATTAGTTTATGATTATAAGGTGCTTTGCTGAAAATGTGTTGTTATACTGAGATTAATTATGGGAAGTATAAATGCAATATTACAGAATACATAGGCAATCTAACATTTTATACATATATACTATAAATGTTAAAAAAACACATCAGTGAAATAGACATAATTCAAGTGATATAACTTTTACTCAAGTTATGTGCAGTAGCTATAAGGAATTTTTTTTCTTTCAAATTTAAGAAACTATATTTTCCTTAGGCATTAAGAATTAAAACTGATATGGTCTTTAACTTGTCACTCAGGAATCCTCCATAGGAATTAAAGAGTATCACCTTGAACATAGGATGCTTTGAACAATTAATTGCTTTTGAGTATGTCTGGTGTGTGTTGACTATCTCTCCTAGGAGAAGGGCGAATGTCTTACTTACCTTTAAGTAAGACAGAGATGAAGCTATAAATATGTAATCATAGATGTGATTTGAAAATTATTGTAAACATATATAAAGGAGTATATGTGGTTTTGACATCCCTTTTTATTTATATAATTTTAAATAAATTCTTCTCAAAATTTTTACTTATACTGGAATTTCCAAATACCATTTTGAGGACTGCCTTATGTAAAGCATCATTCCTATCATTTTGTGAACATACCACACAAATGCGTAGGAACATTTTAGACTGCTTTAATTAAATACATGGACAAATTCCATTATAAGTCTTGAAGTTTGTGAAAACGAAATGCTCAAGCTTTGGATTTGGCAGAAAAAGATAGGAGCTTCCTCCTTTCCCCCTTGCTTGACAGACAAAGGTTTCTTAGTAGAGTGTGTTATGATTCCTTGTTAAGGTAACCCCTGGAATGTTTTAGGAATTACATGAATGCTTTTTCATTAGCATGAAAATGGAATTGTGAAATGAATCTTAAACTTTTTATTAACAATAACATTGAAATGGTGGGGAGCAAGAACATGTAGAAGAGCAGGTAAGACATTGAAAATTAAGCAAAATCACAGTATTTATACCTGTTAATGTGTGTGCCCCTTGTGGAAACTCCATGTAGTAAAATGATGATGTTTTGCTCTACAAATTATCTGTAAATTTTGGGCAAAATTCTGTTCTCTCTGAGTCAAGGAAAATGCAATCAGTTTGCCGAAAAGCATTGAACAATTCTTTGATGCAGTTAAAAGAAGACAGTGCCTCCCATTTAAATTTTGACATTTTGTGCTTAACGTATTATGCAAAAACGTTGCAATTATTTATCCTGTCACTGGAGTAAAACTTTAAGAAGTACATATTTGTCATTTAATGAGGATACTAGGATATTGTTGATTTTTATAGGAGTTGCTATAGATATTCTAGGAGTTAATAAGGGCTGGTGAAATCCAAAGGAGGAAGCTGAATTATTCCTGAGATTCCCACAGAGGCTGAAAATCTTCAGGATATGTTTAGTTCCTGCCTCTGCAATGAGTGATACTATATTTGTGTGGAGAACTGAGTTAAGATAGGAAGACAATGGTTAAAATTACATTGTAACCCATAAAGTGAGGGCAACATGCCCAATTATGCTGTTGCCCTCTTAGAAGCAAGTGAAGTCTTGTACATTGCATAGTTTCCCTTTCTGTAATATACCTGGTAATGACCTGTGTTTAACTTACCAGAATTTTAAGATTTTATGTCTTGAGAATTAATAGCAGAAACATGTTTTTAAACAATTAACTATATTTTTTAAAGAGCAAAACAGTGAGAAAAGACCATCCTTTATATACAGTCTGAAAGCCAAGCAGTTCTTGCAACAGATGTTTGTTGTATTCACTTTGGGGAGGTGTACTTACCACAGTTTTCCCAGATTTACTCATATCAACTGTTTTTCTGTGTAGAAAACATAATACATATATCGATAACTATATCAAGTGGCCCTTTGGCTTCATTAGGGGAAAATCTGGTCAAATTTAAATGACAGCTTTTAAAAAAATGAGAAATCTTAAGGTAAATGGTTGGTTTTTATTTGTATTGAATTGTAATTGTATCTAATTTGTTTTACAACTCCCATAGGAGAGCATACTTAAGTTCTGAAGTTATTTAATAGATGAGGATGATTTTATGAGAAGTTAAGTTGATAGAGCAGCCAATAAATGTAATCCTATTTTCTCACTACACAGTTGTAGATTGTCATGTTCTTGCCATCTTGCTTTTTAAAAATCTTTATTTTATTGGCCACTACTATATCTCATAAAATGACACATTTTGTCAACATGAAGTAGTTCATCCTTTCAGCAAGCTAATCTGCTTTTTTATTTGTCCATATCCTTAATCAAAAGTGTTTAGCTTTTTCAGAAATAATATATAAAAATACCATCTCAACTATTCATCATTTATCTTTACTTAAGCAAATATTCAGGAATTTGGAAATGAAACATTTTTTTGTAGTGGAATTATAAGGTCAAATGATAGTGTTGGTTCCATGACTTTTTTCTGTCTTTTTTAATTGAAGCACATGAAACTCCAGCTCTTAAATTAGGGTGTCAACATTATAGTTAAAATTGTGATCAGGCATCTCTCAATTTTCATGTAATTGTAATTCATTTTGTCATTGTGATTTGCCTAGAATGTGGTGTTATTTTCAAAAAGTATAGGATATAAATGTGAGAAGAGTATTTCCAAGTATTTCTGTAGTCATATAAACATTACTAGCTTTTTAGACCATGTTTTGTTTTGGTTATAAATATTCATATTATTTTAATACTTTTAATATTCAGTATATCATGAATAGTTTATCTAGTTCTCACTTTTTAGTCTAAGTACATCTTCTGGAAAAGAGTGTTTTTATGTTACTTAACTATTTCACTTAATTATAATTACTTCTTATTTATAGATAATTATTTTGATATTGCATGCTTCTTTTTCCTTCCTACAAAAGACCAGAGAGAATTTTGAAGGTTTGAAATTCTGGGACACTGTCCATAAATAATAAACCTCTGGTTTAAATTTTACACTACTTGATATTAGAGCAGTGTTTGTTTTATCCCCCCCTTTGATAGCTCCATGAAGTAGCAAATAATATCTCTGATTATGTGACAAATCTTTTTTTCATTTTTTAGAAAATGCAAAATAGTGTTTAAATCATATAAAACATTCAGCTTCATTTAACATTACTTTCTGTATATACAGAGAAATATGTTTGTAAGATAATGATAGTAAAGAGTCATATACTTTGAATCTTAAGAGTCTTCCAAGTATCTTGACCTGCCTCTTGGCAGCATTTTAGGATACTGATGGATTTCACATAGAGTAGTGTACATGCCTATTGTGTGAGCATTTTGAAAACTCCCTGATGGGATGTATACTTTTTCTAAAATGATACAAGATACAAATTATTTTTTGTCTGTTTCTTACAGATGTACTCCATGCGGTTATAATTTAGTCTTGGGGGAAACAACAGGGTTTAGAAGTTGGTTTTCCTCTGAATGACTCAGTGATCTCTGAAAATGTTCACTAACTTGCAGCAGAAGCCTAATTAGCAATCATTTCAATAGTTACAAAAGTGGTGGTATTACTTTAAAGGGTTCAACTAGTAGCCAAGAACACTAAAACAGAATATTGATTGTTTGTGTATGTTTCTTTTTCTCCTCTATATGTATTCCTTGGGAAAATTAATTTGTATACTTGATTTCATTGGTTTTAAATCTAGGCATTCTGCTCTCATCGTTTTCCCCTCTGTATGTATACCTGCATTTTCTTGTATCTGCCTGGCAAGATTGTGAGAATGTT